AGGCAACGAAGCGAGTCGGCCGAAGAGAGGTCTATGCAAGTCGGCGGATGTTGGGACGGTGAGGAGCCCCCACGTGCCGGTGAGAGGATAGCGGTTGAAGTCCTCCCAGGCAAGCGGGATGGCGTGAATGCCCCCCCGGGGAGGGATGCTGAATGCTTCCCTGGGAGATGAGCCGGTGTTCGGCCAGGCTGCGGCGGAGTGAGTGGAGTCAAGTATACTGCTTGCTGCCGCGCACCGAGTTCCTGAGGGACTGACCGGCCCCGATAGTATTGTGAGTGTCCGGCGTGAACTTGTGCCGCCGGCCGCCGGCCGCATGCCAGTAAGGAGCCCGACCGATGACGAAGAGAGTGCCGAAGACTCTCGGAGGCGCAGATGACGACGAGGTCAAATGCGGAGTACGCGGGGAGTAGCTGTCGAGGCTGTCGGACCGCAATGTCTGCCGGTGGCGTAGCCACGAAGAGAGTGGGCCAAGAGACGGTACGACAGAGTAAGTCGGTAGCTGGTTGTAAGGGTCGTAATGACTGGGCATAGAAGCAGAAGGGACAGGGCCGGAGTCGGAGAGAGAACTTGGAGTGTAGTAACGGCCACAAGAGGGCTCACAAGTACCGCAAGAGGGGTCACGAGTGCCGCAAGAGGGGTTACGAGTGCCGCAAGAGGGGTTACGAGGAAAAGGATTGTCGGGTTCGGGTTTTTGACAGCAAGTATGGCAGCCTGGGAATCGAGGTGTATGAGAAGGGCAACCAACTGATTATTAGCCCACCGACGCTGAACTTTTTGACACGGGCGTCTACATGTATCGTCACTACCGGCCTGGCTCGTCAGCAGTTAAGTTTAGAGGAGGTGGGCGCTGGTGCCATCAGAGGCTTTTTTACCAGGAAGCAAGTGCGTTGTTCGAGACGACGTTGGCTACCAAAGAACGTCGGATACCATTGCTGTGGGAGCAACTACAGCTGGCGGGTGGTCACAAGCATTCCGCGTGTCCAGACTGAAGCCATGGCTTTTTTGGAGTGTACCCCTGGGTGTATCTCTGGGGGGGGGGGGGGG